GAGCTAATGCAGGTCAACACAGACTAAGTGGACCTGAAATGTATCCTAGATTTCCAGCTGGACCTAGGGGTATGCCACTACGCAGCATGCTAGTTCCCCTCAAAAGAGACGAAATCAGACCGATTAGACCTCTCATTCCTCATCTCATGGCGCAGCGCCATCACTCCCCCCAAACAATGTGCAATCAGATGGGCTTCACTCCCAGACCACCTCATTTCTTACCTGGCTTCCCCCATCGAGTGGGAGTTCGTGTGTACAGGAAGAAGATAATTTCACCACCAAGCGCACCTCAACAGTTTCCGCGCCCAGCTAGACCCAGAATGTTTAACACCAGACTTAGAGCTCAGAGTTCATGCCCTACTTTTCATCCCGAGAGTAACGAGTATGAAGTCAGAAATCAACCGGTCACTCAGTACAGTGTGCCAGAATATTCTAGCTACAGACCTAATTCTTCAGTGATTCCTCCTCCGCTTTTGAGGCCAGATGAAGCGCCACCCAATGGCATGAGTACTCGTACATCTCAACCTGGATACTCGCTGCCTGCGCAACAAGAAATCGAAATGCCGGACCATCCTGAGACTTATTCGCAATCATACCATTCGTATTCTAATGCTACGCAAGCTGTTCATGACGAGAAGATTAAACTGACGAGTCCGAAGTGTGCTTCCCAAACTGGCGACTCTTTTTCGATTCTGGATGTAAAAAATTACAGGCAGCACTTTTCAGAAACAAGGCACCCTAAACGTTTTTGCGAAGACTTGCCCCAACCAGAGGAGCCAAAAATGGTTAATCAAGGTGAAAACGTTTGTTTCAGTGACACGAAAGAAACCGAAAAATATTTAAATAACTCTCATAGAGAGGAAATTGCTAAACCTGTTCAAGAGAACTGCAAAATTGGTCAAAATGTAGAAGGCCTGGAAATTGAGCATCAGGTTCCGGCGTTACCTATTCACCAAAATATTGAAAATAAATGTGAGGCTGAACAGATTCCGGACTTGATGCAGATTTCGCCAACTTTGCCAGTTGGTGGTTTTTACAACCCTTCGCCAAGTTTTGTCCCGCCAATTGAAAGTTTTGGAACCACCGGAGCTTCCCAATGCAACTCTCGCGATTTTGTTCCACCGAATGAAATGTATGGCACCGCAGTAGCGTTCCGTAGCAATTCTCCCGCTTTTGTTGCACCGAAGGAAAGTTTTGTTCCCGCTAGAGCTTTCCGGAGTAGTTCTCCCGGTTTTGTTCCACCGGATGAAAATTATGCTCCAGCTGGGCCTTACCGAAGCAATTCCACTGGATTTTTTCCACCGAATGAAAATAATGTTACAGCTGGCGCTTACAGAAGCAATTCCATTGGCTTCGTTCCACCGAATGAAAATTTTTTCACCGCTGGATCTTTCGGGGTTTGTTCTCCCGGGTTTGTCCCACCGAATGAAAATTGTGTCCCCGCTGGCGCTTTTCAGCATACTTCGTCTAATTTTTCTCCACCAAATGAGAATTTAGGAACATCTGGAGCTTTTCGTGGGAACGCTCCTGGTTTTATCCCTCCAAATGGAAATTTTGTTTCTGAGAATTTTAATGCTGCTCCGCCCTGTAATCTAGCAAATGAGTTCAGTACTTCTGAAGGTGGAAATAGTCGCAGTAGTCGCGGAAAACATTATTCACGGGGTCATGAAAAAAGTCACGTTGACAACCGAAACTGGCAGCAGAATTACAACGTACAAGCAAGCAGTTATAAGCAAAGCGAAAGTAGTTACAACGAGAGAGGCAAGAATAACCATGGGTACTATAAATCGACCAAAAATTTTAAGGAAGCTAGCTATAATTACGACACTAAGTATAATAACGAGAACAGAAAACAACACCACGAAAACGCACCCAGTAGAGATTCTGGTTTCGATAGTTACGAAGTAAAAAGTAGCAGAGGGCATAACTTTGACAGCCATGTACCTGGAAGTTCGAATAACATGAATCAGCATGGTAAAAGTCACGGTAGTTCAAGCAATCGTCGCCAGAACTCGACCTCGAAGCTCAGATCATGGCGCGACCTCTCTCCTGGATCCGAAGGAGAGTTTGACGAGGCGCCGCGGCTACCTAAAAGGTCAAAGAGTGGATACAGGGACGAGGGTTTACCCAATTATGAGAATGAAATCAACGATGAAGATGGTGAAGACAATGACAGCTTCGATGAAATTCTGAGATCGAAAAGGAAAGGAAGGCGACATCATTCGGATTGGTATGATGAAGATGAGTTCTCCAGAAGGAGCTCGAAAAAAGATTGGTCCTCCTGTGAACAAAGCGAAGCGAGCAGTGAAAAGAAAGCAAAACGACGTGAAAAGTCAATAGACAGTCGCTCGTCATCAATGGGGAGCTGGACTTCCCGCCACAATGACACGGTGCTAGAAACGACAATGGGGAGTTCCAAGAGCTGCATACCAAAGCCAGGAGCAACCCCGAAAAAAGACGTGGCGTTGCCAATTGAGACCTTCATCACCGCCAAGAAAATGAAACATAAAAGGTCTTCGAAACCGGAACGAGAAAGTAGCATTACGGAAAAATCTGGTAAAATTGACATAAACAAATTGAGTAAACAAGAAGGGCATGTTCCAAAGAAAGTGGTCGACCCAGATGATCTAGAAGATGGCGAATGCTCCGATTAGAGAATTAAAACTTAAATAAGTGGATTTATAACTCCCAGTATTTCAAAAATGTTATGTTTTGATTCGTATTTTATTCTAGTTAGTTGAATCGTTATTCTGAGATGTTATAGACTTTATCTTTTAAAGGGTGTAACTTCTCTTCTCAAAATGGCACGCTGGTTCCTAATATCTTTTATTGGTTGTTCGTTGTTTATCAATGTAGCCTATTTTGATTTTTGCTACTTTTGTCAATAAATATTCAATATTATTATTTTTCCTATTCGCCTCAGATTTAACTTATATTTTCAGCTCGAAAAATTTTTATTCTTGTTTTGAATAACGGAGCAAATCACTTTACTATATCAGAAACATAATTATGATTGCGATAAACAGGCGTTGTCAAATCGGAACATAATTTAATTCTATATCAATTTGTTTTTTTTTGGTGTTTCTTTCTTATGTACCGGTAAAATATTTTTTATATTCAGCTGTCCGGATTTTTTAAAGCTATTCGGAAATTTTGGCAAAAGGTTCTTTGTATCTCTTTACATGCTGTAGCTATAAAGGTTACCTGAAATATTCAATTTTTCATCTGAGTATCTTAGTTTGCATGCTACTTTTAGTTCGAAGTTTGAATTCTTTAGTGAGCTCATATAACTAACAAGCATCAGTCATAAGATAATCACAGGGATCGAGCTCACGGGCCCTAAGGCCCCTCGAGGAGACGTCCCATAAAGTAGAATTTTACAGAATACGTTGAGAAGAAAGAAAAGGCAGGAATTAGATCACTTGTCAAATATCAGGTGAAGGATATCAGACATATGAAACATACATTTTAAAGTTTGCAATTTTACACTTGTAATCGGAAGATACAACTTTTTTGCCGTAAACAACTTTATTTACAAATCTGTTGGAAATTGAGCTTGCTTCCTCCAGCTCCATTGAGGACAGCTTGCTTTCTGCGCCAGTTCAATTGAGGACAGCTTGCTTCCTTCGCCAATCAATAAATCCTCAATTTCGCGCCCCTTTACACTTGTTCAAGTGCGTACCTTCGGATTCAGAAGTCGGGTTCGAGTTTCGGCCGGTCCTTATTTTTAAAGAGTTATCAACGTAGTGAAGACTCTTATAAAGCTCTTGGTGATTTTTTGTTTGTTTTTTTTTCAGGAAAAAGTCTGAAAGTCCTCTTATAACTACAGATGTCCATTCATACATATTACTTCAATTGAACTCAAAAAGTGCATATATACCCAATGCACTTTTTGAGTTCAATTGAAATTCTTCTGCCGAAAAGTAGGTAAATAGCACTCTCCTAATAAGAACGTGGAAATGGCGTGAAAAAAGGTTAAAAAGCATCTACACTTCTATTTTTTGAAATGCGAAATTTGAGAAAGTGTTTTTTTTTAATGTTTACTTGCGTTCATTACTCTTTTCCAATCTTCGATTGGCTATGTTTTTGACTTTTTGGGTCTTTTTACATTCATTGACCTTTTTCCAACAAACGGTTGCCTATGTTTCAATGAGGACAATGTGCGCCAATCAGTTATAACTGCTTTTCAGTAATTTTGTCTCAAAATAAAAATTCAAAATATTAAAGCTAAAGTCGATTATAATGTATGTTGAGAGATTTCCAGTCAAGTATAACCTTTTCCAAAATATCGTAAACGCTATCAATTGCTGTTGTCTCAAGTTTGTATAAGAATTCGTTATAATAGATAATGCAAGCTTAATTTACATGCGAGTGGTTACTCCTAAAATTCGTGATTCAAAAAATATGGATTAAAACTAGAAAACGGTGCAAAAGTGTGAACAAACACGCAAAAGGTTTTGCTTGGAAAACTACGCCGAAAAACCCATTGTCGAAACCTTGTACAGGACCAATGTAAATATTAAAGCAACCCACAAAAATGTCTCATGATGGAGTTTTTGGCAAGGAATTGTATCATTTAAAGATCTGGCAGTAGTTGCTTGATAACGCAAACTTTCTTTTGAAAACAACTTTCTTTTGTAAGTATTGTTTCAGAATTTTGTTTGTAGTAATAAGTTTAAGTTTTTAATTGTTAATTAGAAGTATTTGGTGAACGTTTTTTCAGTGGAATTTTTTTTAGAATCAAATTAAGGCCATATTTGTGCACATAGAGTTAAAAATTGGGAGAAGGGTTTTGGCGCCTATTTTGAAGACATGGGTTATTCAAACTAGCCGCCGCTCCGCGCGATAGTTATCCAACTTGCCTTTTTGATTTTTCTCTCAAGATGTGATCGGACGATTACTTTCGTGAATTTTTTTCAATTTACCTCATTGAAAATAATTGGATTTATTATTGTTTAGATGTGTCTTCTTTTTCAGGAAAAAAACATCTTTCAATGTTTTTTTTTCAGATAATTGTAATTGTTTGCATTTAATATATGCAGGCTATGTCAGCTCAGCAAGCTTCAGAAGCGCTCGGTGTAAGTACTACACTAATGTAATTTATTCTGACTACTGAAGAGAAATTCTTAATTTGATAGTTTTTTGTGACGCGATCTAAGTTATCATTCCTAAACGTCAGCTGGAGTCAAGTAACATGCAATTAAAAAGCTCTTTCATTTATTGTAAGAGAAAAACAATTAGAAGTTTTTGCTATTCAGACCATTAATATCTTGTGTACAAATACCCAATCATTCGAATTTTAAGCCGTGAATGAGACAAAATGCATGTTATTTTCCTCTAAAGAGTTTTCTGCCATTTCAGGGAGCTCCAAATGCAGAAAGAACAAGCAATCTCAAAGATTTCAAAGTTTTAGTGGTAAGTTTATTGCCTCTTCGAGTTTTTTTTTAAAACTTAATAATGTCATCAATGTTTAATTTCAAATTGAAATTCAAGTTGATTTTCAGAATTTCGTATTTAAAATCAACTTTGAATTTAGAGCAAGTGCAGAATCAAAAGTGAGCTGGATGCAGATACGGCCATCGAGATATCCAGAGCACTGACCGAGGCGTACGTGAACTATAAGCTCGCTAACTTGCCCGAAAAAGCAGTGAGTTCCTCGTCTACTCATGGCGCTTTATTTTAAATTTTTCGATTTTTTATGCAAGCCTTTTGTTGAGTGATTTCTAATTTCAGGATAACGGTATTCGAGACTCGTACAATCATGCCTTGAAGTCCTTAAAAAGTATGAAGCCAGCGCATCTCAAAACGCAGATTCCAGCGCCACCGCCTCCTGTTGTCCACAAAACTTCGTCAATTTCCAAATCATCTAAAAGAAAAGGAAATGCAAAATCGTCAAGTGAATCGCCAGCTGTAAAGAAAACATCTAAAGAGCTGGCTAATGTTGATACGCCGACCCCAGTTCAATCGTCAAATACTGGAGGATTTTCGATACCTTTTACGCCAACATTCGGAGTGCCCCCTGTGGCTATTCCCGGAACTCCTATTCCTCCTGGGCCTCCCATGATGCCGCAGCCTCCACCGGGTATGTTTCCGACATCTATGCCTCAAATGCCAGTTCCTCCAGTGATGCCGCCTCAGATGCCATTTCAGCCAGGCGTTCCACCTCCTTTCATGCCAGGAATACCGGTGTCCTCTTCGGCCTTTCCAGTTAGTCAAAACGGAGTGTAGCTGAAATTACTTTTCAGATGATCCAAACTGCCATATTTAAAATAGTGTTTGTTGTTTTCGATATGCTTTGAATGTGTATTTAATATTTCTTTAATGTAGGCTTTTTTCACAACGTTTCCTATTCTTCTTGAGGCAAAGGTTCTTCTTGGGTTAAATCTATAACTGAGGTATATTATGGGTAAAAATTGATTTCAGATGCGAATGAGTTCAATCAGTCTGAATATAGCGCAACCAGTTCACATCAAGTTGGTTTTTACGAGCTGAAATTCTGTCACTGAAATCTTTAGCTGAAAACCTCAAACCTTCTATCTTGATTTGTTCTGTCTTTATCTTTTGATTGACAGTCAAGTTACTCGAGTACCCTTGATTTTTATTGATATCACTTATTTCTGCGTTAAAAATCCCTCTTGAATGTGAAAGGTAAGTTGAAAGCTGAATGAAATGGAGTCGCCTTTGAACGTGGACCTGGAACACCCTCTTCCTGAAGATATCCGCAACATGGACAGAGATGACACTGTGTGCAAGTTCTGTGGGGTGTCCTACTTCATACATCATGAGATCAAACAGCTACAGACTGAAGTGAGTGTAGCATGGGGAAAATTTCATCGGATATTTAATCAGTCTGAATTATCTAGTTAATCTGTGAAATCTTTCAAGTAATCTTACTAACTGGTGCATTGTTTTTTTTTTCGTTATTGTCCGACCAACCCGAAGGGATTGGAAGTAACTATGGCCTTGTGTATTTTTTTATGCAAAGTGTGGTGCCTCAAAGAAGGCTCGTACGGAATCAAGTGTGGTATCATTTCAGCCATGGTTGGTATACCATGAAAACAAAAATTGCCTTAGTGTAACAAAAAAATTGTCTGAATATTTTCGTTTATCACACCTATTCTCAGCAGGGGATTGGATCTTGTTAATCACTCACTTGCACGTTTTTGAGTGTCAATGAAGTGAAATGGGCGCAAAAATTGATTCAAAAGGGAATTTTGTTTCGAAGATTACCAACCCGTTAAAAATTGTTGCTATATGCTATCGTTTTCTCAGATAGATTTGGTTATATCAAAGATTTATCAATTTTGAAAGTTGCTCTAATAGTTCTGTTAGTCGGCACTAATATGTCATAAACAAATTTGTCTCATTTCTGATTGCCAACCAATTTAATGCGCTGTTTTGTTGAAACCATAAATTCTGTGATTCTTGTAGTGATTATTTTCCTGGTGTTATTGCTAGTTTTAAGGACTTTTCGGTCGCCGGATAATTTTGTTGTTTTTTTGATGTGAGGACTTTAAAAGAAAGAAAGAAAGAAAGAAAGAAAGCATTCATATCTCCATAAATAGTACTCAACAAGAGGATTGGTGAAAGGCACTTGAAAATTTATCTTATTTTCCAGAATTAAACTTTTTTAATTACACAAGCAAGGATTGTGTTATAGTATGAACTCTCTTTTTTTCAACCTTTACAAATATTGTTGCGACAAAATGGGTTCATTTTGAAAGTGTTCATTTTGATCAATAACCAGCTATTAAGTTCAGCCAACGCAACTTAAAGGCATCATGTATCTGTAGCGTAGACGTAGGGAAGGAGACCCAAACTATTATATTACAAATAGCACTTTAGCTTTAAGGTATCATGTATCTGTAGCGTAGACGTAGGGAAGGAGACCCGCAGCAACATTGAGGGTTCGAACACTGGCAGGGTCGAATGTTTTTAATGAATTTTTTCGTATCCTAGTGAAAATGCGGCCGCTCTATAAATTGAGGCATATTGGTTGGTAATTTTTTTTTCAAATTGACTGGTACTGCTTATGCGTCATAATTGGCTTGCCTCACTTAGCAATTATGTAGACTCATTATTGTCGTGCGTCACTTAGGAAATTTTGCAGACTCAAATTTTTACCCATTCAGTTTTTCTCAGCAGCGTTATCTGGTATATTTTTGCTTGTGTATGCGAAGTGCAACTTCGCCTCTGTAAAATAGGTAAATACGAAAACTTTTTACGAATCAAAAGAACAGGTTCAGATCTAAAACCAAATCTAGAGAACAGATAAATCCCAGACAACAAGTCATTTGCATGTTATTTAGTGCACTTGAAAACGGATAAGACAAACAACAATTTTTTAAAATTCTAAATCAATTTTTTTGCTCAAATTTTTTTCTATAAACTCAAAAAAACAGCGATGTCTCGAAAACTAGAAGGATCAATTTTTTTAGCTTTGATTCGCAGCGCTACTCAGGTTTCCCGATAGTACTTAGGATTAACTAAACAAGGTTAACCTAAATAAAAATTAATAAATTCAAAGCGGCTAAATTCAGTTTTTAAGAGCAATGAACGTAAAGAGTACTCTTTCATAGGTCTTGCTGATTTTTTTACAGCAAAAAGTATTAAAATTTATTCACGTTCAATTTTGATTTTTCGCGGTTTGATTTGTGATTTCTTTTTACGTTCAATGAATTGCTTTTGTTAAAAATAAGGCAAACGCCACTATCGAACAGCAAAATTGTAAAGGTCACAAAAAGTGTGATTGACTTCTAATTTGGAAAATGGAAATTACTTATCAGATTTTTACCTATTTACCCAAGAGTTTTACCTATTGGTCCAATTTTTTCAAATTGGTTTTATTCGCAAAAAAGTATCTTTCAAATTGTTCTACAAATTCAAAGAGCTTTGGGCCATCTATTTTTTTTTCGAAATTCAAAAGTTGACGACTTTTGAAGAAACAGGTCGGTGTTTTTTTCAGTTTCCTTGCAGTCATTACTCTTTTCCAGCTGTCAGTTGGCTGTTTCCTAAAATGTAATTGTTTTTAGTGTTTAAGAAATGAAATTTCGTTGACTGCTCATTTGTACATCAACAGTTATCAATTCTCGCATAAAAGGTTAAGAAGCTTTGATATACGATTCTGCAGTGATGCACCATTAATTTTCTTCCAGCCCGCTGGTTTTTCGAAAGCTTGCAATGACCATCTCTGGGTATTATAGGCAAATTTGTTTTCGGCAAAACTCTAATTCAAAAAAATCGTTGTATTGCAAACTGTTGATCGATTGGAGACAAAATTTGAGTAGATCATACACGAGCAGTTCAGGGACTGACAATATCTTATTGTTCCGACCATTGTAAATGGCGAGGAACTTTGTATTCGGGTGTGTCTTAGTTTTTTTTCCTTTTTGTTTTTCACGCAAAATCAGTTACCACAGATAATCATCGGACTGGGTTGAGTGATATATCATATTAAAGCCCTGAAAGTCGTGATTCAAACCACCTTTTTGAAATTTTTTACCAATGTCGAGAAAAACCGGTTTGAATTTTTTTGTTTTGTGTTTTTTTTCGAGCGAATAAAGCGAGCGAGCCATCTTATTATGGCTGAAAAGCTTATAATAGCTTAATTTAAAATGTTAAAACTTAGGTTTACTTGGGTAACGTTATTTTACGCTGAGTATTTTAAAGCTTTTTTAGAATCATAACTTTCAAAAATTAAAAAATAAAACGAAAAACTTGAAACATTTTTCAATTTTTTTCATATTTATTTTTCGTTTTTCTAGTAATTTTTCTACAAAAATTGTGTTTCGTTTTGCTTATGTTAGTATGGCTGTCGAATAAACCTAATACCCAGTTTGTACCCCAGTTTTTTTTGTACCATGTATACCTAATCCAGCGCGGCGCCGAAAAAAAAACGACAATAATTTAAAAAAAAACTGTTGTATTTTCTTAAAACTATGGTCGGAACATTCTGTGCTACTTGCACAGTAACGGGCTATCTGTGTTATATATAAATTCATCTGATATGCTGTTAAACATACGCTTTTGCAAAGCTCAAACTTGAGCTTCCTCTGCAAAATTCAAATTTGTGTAAGACGTACAGCCGTAAACAAGCAAGCCATTTTGTATAATTGGCTTCACGTGTGTATTTAATTAAAAATTGAATACCGCTCGCGGTACAAAAAAAATCTAATTTTATAAATTGCACCACAAAAAAAACATTAATTTAGTTTTGGCAATATGACGTGAATTTCATTTAGTGTTCCCTCTGACAACTAAATTTTTACACGTTTTTATGGAAGAAAAAACTTTTTACTGCAATAGTTAAATTAGCAGCTTCAGTTTTGTGATCAAAAGTTAGCAAAGTAGTTTTTATCTTTTTTAGTTTAAAACTATTTGAGGCTAAACAACCATGGACATTCAAGAAATCTGACTTAAAATCACTTGGATTGTGACTGCATGCAATTATATCCGTATCAACTGCAAACAGAAGTACCTCCGACGTTTCTGGTTCGCGAGGCATATCATTAGGTTATAAAAGGAAATGAAGTGAACCCAACACAATCAGTCGGAGTTTTCATTATTTATCTGAACGCATTCTTTACTATCAGATAGATAGCTCCCAAAGCAATCCAGGCTATCACCTCGAATTCCATAGAGCTCTAATTCAGTCAGCAAAATTTTCTGATCGAGAGTATCAAATGCTTTTAAGTCAACAGAGAAGCTACATCGCAATGTTTAATCAGAACCGAATCTTGTTTTCTGTTAGTTCATCTAAATCATCTTTATTTGCAAGTTTTCTTCGGTATCTAATTTGGTGCAAAGAAAAATGATTGAATTGTTGTGGGTATGCGAATATACGATCTTTTCGAAAGTTTCGCTACAATTGATAAGTAGCGAAATTGGTCGGTAATTATTTCAATCCGATGCATGCTTTTTATGTTTTCCAAGTTTCCAGTTTCAAAGGACTGATTGATCATATAGGTTAGATAGAGTGCGATAAATTAGGAAGACACTATAGAAATGATGGCTGATTGCATCAAAACCTGCTGATTGTTTCGGCTTATGACTATTTAATGCATTTATTAAGAGTAACGAACGAATGAACTTTTATAGGTTTTGGTGGTTTTCTTTTTCAGGAAAAAGTCTTGAATTTTAATTTAATCTTCACGTATTAATCTTTACGCATTGATCCAATTTTCTCAATTTGGGTTAAATACATGAAAAAAATTTCAATTAAAATTTGTTCTACAAATTCAAAAAGTTTTAAGGACATCGTTTTTTCCTGTTTCTTTGCGTTACTTACTCTTTTCTAACTCAGTTAGCTATGTTAACCTCGTGGAAAAAGCAGGAAAAACAGATGCATTAATTGCAAAGACTTTGATATTGACTTTGACTTTGATATTTGGCGCAGATTTTGGAATTTGGGTCGCTAGAACGTTTTAGAAATTGCGACCAGTTGAACATTTGAACCATTAACGCTTGTGCCTTGATGGTTTACATGTCCTTAATTCGGTACCAATTTCGGTAAGCAGGCCAAATTCCAAAATCTGCTCCAAATATCAAAGTCATTAGTTCTTCGCAATTCATTTATCTGTTTTTCCTGCTTTTTCCACGAGGCTAACATAGCCATTTTAGCTAGAGCGCAAAGATAATTAACGCAAAGTAATTAACAGGAAAAACAGATGTCCTCAAACCTTTTTGAATTTGAAAAAGAAAGCATGCAATCATTGTTTATTTTTGAGCGCTTTCGCACATTGTGTGAATCATCAGAGAAACTATCATCTGGAATGGTCGTCATCATTGCGAACCAGTTAACAAAAAAC